TGGGAATAAAGTAACTTAGTGTCCCCAGCATAAGTCTGGGAAAACCCCAAGCCCTGGGCAGCAGGACTGGAAGTAGAGGCAGTTGGTGGGCACTGAACAGGGGACACAGGGAATAAACTCAGAAATATGGGACACAGGCTCCCTGGGGCAGAGAGGGTCTCCTAAGTAAAGGGGGGTGTTTTCTGGCCAGCTTCTCATGTGGGCAGTAAAGTCAGAGGGTGGTGCCTCTGTAACCTAGGGGTGGTACCTCTGTAACCTAGGGGTGGTACCTCTGTAACCTAGGGGTGGTACAGCAAATATGGATGGGAAAAACATCTCAGCAAGGCAGGGAGACTTCGAAAGATGCTGAGGTTTTCCCCTACTTCTCATAGGTTTCTGCAGATCTATCTGGGTGTCCCTAAGATCCCTCAGCAGAAGGGAGAAAGGGTGGCCTTCTTGGGAAGCACCACGGAGAGGAAACTGAAGAACTTCAGAAAACCAATCAGGGCCTGAAACACAGCAGCACGCTTGGCTGCAGGGACGTTGGGCTAAGGAAAGTTGGGGCTCAACCACCCACGGACCCCCGCAGCCACCCATCCCACTTCCAGAGAAGACCCAGTCTTTCAGTCTGTTCTTGGACCGTATGTCCAGAACCCAGAGGAGAACCCCGCCGATTTACCTGTGCCCTCCTCCCATTAATAAACTCAGGTGAGGCCGTACAGCCACGTGACCAGAGGAGAGCCTGTCCCAGGTCAGGGGAACTCAGGAGCCACACCAGGATTTCTCAACCTGTGCTGTGCCTCAGAATCACTCAGAAGGCTTGCTAAAAATATAGGCACCCAGAACCACCCTGGGGCATCTGTATTTGAATGAGCACCTGCAGGTGATTCTGATGTACCCCGTGGTTTGAGAACCAGCCTCCCAAACAATTACTGAGGGAACCTCATCAGCTACTGGTATAGTCCATCTGGACCAGGGCTGTACATTAGCATAAAAGTAAGAACAAAACGCCCCACTGCCAGAAATTCTGACTTAATTGACCTGGGGACAGGACTGGACATTGGTATTTTTTAAAATAAGCTCTCCAGGTGGTTCTAATGTATGGCAAAAGTTGAAAGTCAAGACCTTCATTTATGAAAACCAGCAGTACCCCAAATTTCTGGGTCTCTGAAAGGATTGATCTGCTCTGAACAGTGATTGGAGTAATGAGACAATAAACAGAAACAATGATTCTCTGATCGATGATACCCTGTGAAATAGACTAAGTGGTAGAAATAGAGGGAAGATATGAAAAAACATCTGTATCCCATCCTCAGGGCGATTCAAGAGGATAAACATCACTAGAACAGAGCAGGCTACTAAGAACAAGTAGTCCAAGAAATATTACAGATTCTTGGAAATAAAAAGCACGGTTGTCAACCACTCTTCTCAACACTTCGTAGGAAAAGAAAAACTCATTAAAGTATAAAATCACAGAATGGACACCATTGAAACTGGTGACTCTGAAGAGTAATTCAAGGAATTCTATCCTTGAATATAGAATAAAAAGACGAAGAGATGGAAAAATAGTAGAGAAAAGAGATAGGGCTGCTACACCCCACATGACCAGAATTCCTACAAAAGGATTTCCTGAAAAGAGAGGGGAGAATGGAGAAAAGTGTAGCAATAATTGAAAGAAAGAAAGGAAGGAAGGAAGAAGGAAGAAGGAAGGAAGGAAGGAAGCAAGCAAGGAAGGAAGCAAGGAAGGAAGCAAGGAAGGGAGGAAGAAAGGAAGGGGACCCAAGTTAAAGAAAGATTTAAGTTCTTGGATCCGATCAAAGGGACTACCGAGGGCATGTCAGAAATATTAGAAAGAAGATACCCATCTACACACTATATTCTTTTAATGTTGATTGAGAAATATGTCTCAAAGTGTTAGTTTCAAATATATCAGGTTGGGACTTCCCTGGTGGCGTAGTGGTTAAGAATCCGCCTGCCAATGCAGGGTTTGATTCCTGGTCCGGGAAGATCCCACATGCTGCGGAGCAACTAAGCCCATGCGCCACAACTACTGAGCCTGTGCTCTAGAGTCCGTGTGCCACAACTACTGAAGCCTGTGTACCTAGAGCCCGTGCTCTGTCACAAGAGAAGCCACCGCAACGAGAAGCCCATGCACCGCAGCGAAGAGTAGCCCCCGCTTGCCACAACTAGAGAAAACCCACACGCAGCAACGAACACCCAACGCAGACAAAAATAATGATTTAAAAAAAAAAGTATATATATATATATATATATATATATATATATCAGGTTAACAAAGCTCTGGGGAAGAACGGGATTTGGAGGAGGTAAAGAAAAACTTCTAGTTTTCATTTTTTATACTTCATTATTATTTGCTTGAAGCAATGACATTTTAAAATAAACCCCTTAAAAGTATGACTAGAGTAACAAAAACTAATACAAAACTTGATTAATAAAGCAAAAGTCAAGGAAGAGAAACAGAAACAAGAAGAAAAATTAGATTCAGAAAACATAAACTATCAGGAAAAAGATTAACTATATGATCCGAGTAAATGTGACTGCTTTCTATCCCAAAGTCTAAGGCAAAACATACCACTAGAAAAATGGGCAAAAAACACAAAAACAGGCAAGCCACAGAAGAAAAATGAGTATCTAGTAATCACGAGAAAAGATTCTCAAGTATGTTAACAAAGAAATAAAAGTAAAATATTTTTATTTTCATCTGTCAGATTTGCAGAGATAAAAAAACTTGATAATGCTTGGGTTGGTAAGGATGTGGGGAAATGGGCACTTTTAAGCTGAGGGCATGAAAAAAGTTGTTATTGTTTTGTTCCAGGGGAATCTAGCCATATGAACTAAAATTAAAATATGCATACCATTCTTAGCAATTCCAACACTGGACATTTATCCTGAAGAAATAATTGGACTTGTGCATAAGGATGTTCCTTGTATCACTGTTTATGTTAACAACAAGAACAAAAGGTTATAACCTAAATATTTTTTTTCCCAAACAGTGACAAACTTTATCGTGGGGGGTTCCCACATGGGATCCCACCCTCTTAAATAAAAAGGTGCATAGAAAAGAAGGGATTTAGAAACCTTTGTACGATACCTACATCCTGGGCCCCAGGGCGAGAAGGGGGCAATTGCTGGGTGGGCTGCGGGGGTGGAGGCAGGGCCCTTGCCACCTGCATGCCCACATCCGCCCTGAGCATGAGGGTGAGGGAGAGATGCTCTGGGAGGGACGAGGGCGCTCCCAAGTTTGGGGCAAGATGGCTGCGGGCGAAGTGTTATGACCTGGGCATTAGTTAAATAAATTACACTACAATTATGTAAGTGGACATGATGTAACTATTAAAAAGCATAGGCGGATCTATACGTGTTTACCTGGAAAGATTGCCATGATATATTGTTAATTAAAAAATTATGGGACAATGTATATGTAAAGGACCTATTTATCCAAAAGAATATGATATTGTATATACAAATAGATCTAAAGGGATAGACAGTAAGTCAAAGGTTTTCACTCTTCCTTAGTTCATGGTGCTCTTAATGTCTCACTAAGTTTTTCATGGAGCCCCTGGGCCAAAACAACAACAAAAACCTTAACAGTTTTTTTTTTTCCTTAAAAAGTCAAAGAGCGTAATATGTATCTATGTCCTAACAACTTAATAGCTATTTGAAATACATATAAATTGAAAGAAAAAAATAATATGTTTACTTCATTCCTAATGACCGCGTGTGTGCTGTGGAGTACTGCACATCTTCTCAAACTTTGGAATCAGACTGGACCTGCCCCCTCATTTCCTAGTCCATGTTGATTTTTGTCCAGTACTTGCTTTTTATCACAACAACTGCCCTGAAAACCCAGATTTGCAAAGATATGACATCACTGGAAGGAATGTAATGTGATCTAATGTTGAGAATGGTGAACGACCATAAGCTAATCGTCTACACAGTATCTGACATGGGTTGAACATCACTATGTTTCCCTCAAAGATTTAGAATGTCCCGTGGGAACCCTGTGAGTTCCCTGCAGCAGCCTAGAGTGCCCTGGTGCAGTTTGGGAATCATGGCATTAGACTATTAACAAAGTCTCCTTCTGGAAAATGAGATTGGGCTGGAGGGAGAAAGAGTTTGCTTTGTTATGCCCATCTGGACAGTCTGAACTTTTTATAAGAAGCGTCTATGACTTCTATTACTTCTTATAAGGTTTTCCATTTTAAGAAAAGAAGCCAGAAAAAGAGCAAGAATGAAAGTGAATGAGAGAGAGATAAAGAAATGAAGAACAAATAAAGAGTTGTCTCACCGAGGGGCAGAGGGTACAAAGGCACACCACACTGGGTTTCCTTTTGTAATCGTGAACGTGGTCTAAGTCTCCCTGGGCTTCGGTTCCTCAGCTACTAAGTAAACACACTAGTTTCTCTCATCGATAAGGAGCTATGGGATGGAACCATTGCTGCCCGCTATTCCAGAAGAGCAGAGTGATGAAAACCACAGCTCTGGAGCCCTCTGCCTGGGTTCTAATCCTAACTCTGCCACCTACTTGCTGTGTGACCTTGAGCAAGTTCACTAACTCCTCTGTGCTTCAGTTCCCCATCTGTTCAATTGTGAGAATAATAATGTTTACCTCTTGTGGGGATTCAGTGGAAGACACTTACTGTGTGGCCAGCACAGAGTAAGGGCTAGCTATTATTGTTGCTGCTGCTAATGTATAAAAGCTAAACTGACCCACAGATTCTTGCCCTCTAGCAATCAGAACTAGGAAATGTGAAGGACTGTCCCAGTTATCATGACATCTACAGGGTCATAGAGAGGTCAGAGGGAAGCCACAAAGGATCCATGTACAAAGCTATTAGGAGGCAGAAACCATGGGTAAGGAATCCAGCTGGGTGGTTACTTGAGGGGTTTCTGTTCTATTGATAAAAAGAGTCAAATTAAGATAGGGTGTAACATAATTTCACGATCTCATGCATTGCCCCCCGCACTCCCAAACATTAAAACATTTTTTTTTTTTTTACCTCATCTCTATGTCCCATAAAGCAATATCGTCACTGATCCAGGGATTGGACGGCTCAGCTGGTGTGACCAAAGGGTCATATTCCACATACTGTTCTGTGTAAGCAATTAAGCTGCAGGAGGGAAGCAGAGCCAAGAATGCCACTGATTTCCTATAAAAGCGTGTATTCTGCTTTACACAAACATTGTATCAGTCTTCATATAATTCCAAGTTAAAGGGGGAAAAGTTTACCTTCACTGCCACTTCCAACAAATCCAACTGTTTTCATTTGTCCCTGCTCCCTTCTCATGATGAACATGCTGTTTTCGCATCATTGCAGTCACAGTATACACGTGCATTTTATATCTTTTTCCCACTTAACTCTTTTGCTGAACCTTGGTGCATCCTCCCCCGGTTATGCTAGCTTTACTGATACACTGGTCCAAGCCTGCCTATGTCTCGTCCTCCCACATGGACTACAGATCTCAAGGCATCTGGGGCACACAAAGGATGTTACAGTTTTTCTAGGCTGCCAGTGCATCATTCTCAACTGGAGGACTTCTTTATTGTAAAGACTTTAAAATCCTGGCAGACCAAAAGGAGTTAACATATTATAAACATTTTTCCAAAAAGCAACTTAGTTTTTCTAGTTAAACAGCCACAGAATTTAAATAGCCACATAATCTTTTTAAACAAAATTTCAATTTTATCAAAATTCATGTCAATAGTTAAAACAATAAAATAGTACTAAATGATTTCTTTTACAAAAAAGCAATAGCAATGTTTTCTCCTATCCCTTCTCACAGAGGCACTTACTTTCAGTCCTTATTTCTTTTAACATTTACCTGTATATTTCTAAATTATATGTTTTTATAGCTGCTCTTGATTATCAATTTTAGACAAGGATTAACTTTCTACTCACCAGTCCCCCCGACTCACTCCACCATTTCCTCCCATGATCCTCCAAATATAACACTTTTTGTTAAATCAACAGTCAGTGTCCACATTGTTAAACGGGGTAAAGACTGTCTGCTGCTGAGCTAAGTAGCATATTACCTTTTCCAAGTGTTCTAACAAATCTGTAAAACATCTAGCAATAATGTTTCACATCTTAAATACATCAGATAATCAAGCAGGGTTGTCTCCCTGTCTCCTGGAGGCCCTCTCCCCAAAGTCTGGAGTCCTCTTGCTCGAATCTGGACTGTTTGCTCTATAGGCTTGATGCAGAACCATCATCCTGGGCCTTCCTTCACGTCTATGTTACAGCCCCAGTTTCCTGGATTCCACGTCTGTCTATTGGTTTTACCTCCTGGTTGTGTTGAAGCACATCCTTTAGTAGTTCCTAAGAAAGGATGCATAAGAGCTAAATATTTTGAGTCCTTGCAGGTCTAAAAATGTTTTCTTTTTATCTTTACACTTGACTGACAGTGCTGGACATAGAACCCTAGGTTAAAAATCATTTTCTTTCACAATTTTGAAGGCATTGCTTTACATTTTTTGATATCCAGTGCTATGCTACTGTTGAGAAGTCTGAATCCATTTTAATTTTTGTTCTTTTGTTTAGTTTCTCTTCCCTCTGGAAGCTTAAAGTCTTCTCTTTACTGCTGTAATGCTCTCAAATTTCACCATGACCCTTGCCGGTAGTTTTTATTCACCATGCCAGGCGCAACGGACAATCCATAGGTAAAAAGACAAAATTCCCAGAAATCTTATGGTATTTCTTTGCTAATTTCATAACCTTCATTTCCTCTGTTTTCTCTTTTCATAATTCTTTTAAATTAAATATTGGAATTGATAATCCAATATTCCTAAATTTTCCCTCCTAAATTTTCATCCTCTTGTCTTTTTGTCTCATGGTTCTTCTGAACTTTGTCTTTATTTTTTTCAATTTGGACTATCACTTTCTTACGTTTCCAGAGTTCACTCTTTTTTTTTTTTAAAGGGCTTCAAATGCTTGGCTTTTATTTATTTATTTATTTATTTTTGGCTGTGTTGGGTCTTCGTTTCTGTGCGAGGGCTTTCTCTAGTTGTGGCAAGTGGGGGTCACTCTTCATCGCGATGCGCGGGCCTCTCACTGTCGCAGCCTCTCTTGTTGCGGAGCACAGGCTCCGAAGCGCAGGCTCAGTAGTTGTGGCTCACAGGTCCAGCTGCTCCGCAGCACGTGGGATCTTCCCAGACCAGGGCTTGAATCTGTGTCCCCTGCATTAGCAGGCAGATTCTCAACCACTGCGCCACCAGGGAAGCCCCAGAGTTCACTGTTGTTTATCATAGTATCTAGTTCTTGTTTTATGGATGAAATGCCTTCTCATATCTCTGAGGATGTTAAATCTATATTTTTATTGTCAGTTTCTTTTGTTTCTTGAATAGTTTTTGGTTCCTCCAAGTCCCTTTTTCTGTTTGTTTGTTCTGATCACACTCCTTTGTGTTGGGGCTCCCTCCGAGAGTCTGGAACATCACTGGACATCCATTTGTGCTTAAAAGTGAGGGACTAAAACCTGCTTGGAGGCTTAGTGTGTGTGTGGAAAGGATCTGCCAACTGATGGGCTTCGTTGTCGGGTCAGGGCAGCTTGCCTGTCATTTCACTAAAGCTCCACGTGAGAGATCTGGAGTCCTTCCTCGGGGGATATCTACTTTGCTCTAGAGCAGTGGTAGGCAAATATTTTTCTGCAAGACCCAGATAGTAAATATTTTAGGCTTGGCAGACCAGATGGTGTCTGTTGCAACTGTTCTGCTCTTCTGTTGTAGAACAAGAACAGCCATAGACAATCCATGAATAAATGCATGTGACTGTGTTTCAGTAAAACTTTATTTGCAAACATAGGGAGTGGATGTGGCCCATTGGTTGTAGTCTGCCAGTCTCTTACCCATGGGCATCTACATCTGGCTCCTGGAGGGCTGAGAGCAGGACAGGGGAGTGGTAGAGGGTCCCACAGCTCAGTACACAGCTCGCTCAGGAATTCTCTTGCTTTCAGCTGGCCCTTCATAACATGATGGGCCTGAGTTCTGAGCTGATGTGACTCAGTTTCTCCGGAGAATAAAGTGCCCATCTCCCATGGTGGTGGTAAGAGGGGAGAGAGGGTCTCCTCATGCGGCACGGATCGAGGGATTCCAAAAGCTCCGGAGACAGACTACCCATTCCCCTGGGGTTATCCCCATGCCTCCTTCTTGCCTTCCATTGTCCCTGGTGCCTTCAAGAGCCAAAGCCAGATTTTGTTGGGCAAATTGGTTTTGTTATAATTCTCCCACCCCTAACATGGAGGTCATAATGTTTTTCACTCTGTCCCCATTCACTTTCTTTTTTATTAAATTTTGAAATATTTCTTGCATTCAGAAAGGCATAAAAACTGTAAGAGTATCACCCTTGTACTCACCACCCAATAAAAAGAAACAACATTACAAACAGAGAGAGAGGTCTGCAGTCATGCTCCCCAATTCTTTATACTTTTGACCTTGGAAAAATGTGTGGAAACTGTTAATCCATTCATTTGTTGACCTTGTGAGTTCATACCATTTTCATTCCTTTAGTGACATGTTACTTTTGGGAAGGGAGAGAAGACTAACGTACATCCACAATATTACCTTGAATGAATTTATTATAATTTATATAATAATTTGCTTTATATTGGACATAGACTTCTAATTTCTTTTTTTTAGTATATGTAGTGCTGGCTAGAGTAGAACACGATTGTTCAGAAAGGTTTTTCCATCTTTTGGGTTATTTATTTAGAATTAACATCCATAAGTGGAATTATTGGGCCCAAAGATATGAATATTTTTATGGTTATCTATCTACAATAAAACTTTTCCCTAAGCATCACCAGCTTGAGTGTCACCAGTTTCCTCTGCAATGGCAGATTCAGAGCCACAATTCCTGCTACTGAATGGCAAAGGGCAAGCATGGCCAAGTAGCTTACTTCTGAGAATGTGAAGAAATTCACTGGCAGCTCCATCTCATTGCTACTCAAAATGTGGTCCACAAACCAGAAGCAGGGGCATCACCTGGAAGCTTGTAAGAAATGCAGAAGCTCAGGCCCCACCCAGACCTACAAGTCAGAATCTGCATTGGTAGTAAAATTGGCCAGGTAATTCATATGCACATTAATGTCTGCAAAGCACCGCATCCCGTTCTTCAATTTTCTGAGAGGCTCAGGACACAGGATATTTTATTCATCAAATGAAGATGAAGGAGCCTGTGATACTCTTGGTTTTAAATTCGGTCGCAGGCTTCCTAACACCTCACAACGTTCTCACTGTCCCAGGCGTGGACCGTCGCCCTGCGGGGTGGGAGGAGCATTGGTCTAAGTTGTAAAACCTTGCTTCTAGCTGTGGGCTGAGCCATTGAACTGAACTTTGTCAAGTTCACCATATGTTACATAATGGCCTTGATGAGTACTCAGGACCATTTGACAAAAAATAATAGGAAAGCATTTCAAGAGTCTTCCAAGTACCCAAGAACTGGGAGATAGATGACTGCAACCACCACATGCAGCGCAGGCCCACCGTCCTGTAAACCTCCTGCTGGATGTGCATCTAGTGTGAGCGAGGCTTCATCCGTATGAGCCATGCAGCATCTCAGGTAAGAAGGAAAGGGAAGGGAGCTCTAAGTGAGCACCGTGGCAGGTGGGATCAGGCAATAATTTGGTGCTGTGACAGCTCCAAGGGGAGTTACCCCTTTGCCACTTGGGCTAATTTCATTCTTCCTGAAAGAAATGGGTTTGCACATTCAGGAATATATCAGTTTCTTAGCGTTACTAGGAAACAAATTACCACAAAATTGGTGGTTTAAAACAACAGAAGTGTATTCTCTCACTTCTGGAGGCTAGAATTTTGAGATTGAGGCCATGTTTCCCTCTGAAGTCTCTAGGGGAGTATCTTCCTCGCCTCTTCCAGCTTCTGGTGGCTTTAGGTGATTGACCACTGGCTTGTGGCTGGATCACTCCAATCTCTGCCTCTGTCTCCACACGGCCTTCTGTGAAGACATGTCTGTGTCTTCTCCCCTTCTCTCTCTTATAAGCACACTTGTCATTAGATTTAGGATCTACCTGGATAATCCAGAATGATCTCATCTCAAGATCTTCTGCAAAGACTCTTTTCCTAAATAAGGTCACATTCATTCCCGGGTTCCGTGGGTTA